GCTTTATCAAAAATGGTTTTGGTGTAATCTATGATTTTCGTGCTACATGCTTTATCGATTAAGGGTGTTGCAAATTTCGGTTATGATGGTTTTTTTTTTTTTTTTTTTTTTGATATAACTTGTGAGTTCATTGAAAGGTCGACTAATCAATAATCGTCTGCAGTTGGTCAAAGTCAAAAATCCTCTCGTTTACTTAGGGTTGTTATCGACAGTCTTGCAGCATACGTAGTAAACACAAAAGAAGAATGGGCTGATCATTTGCAGCTGGTAGCACTTTTATATAATACATCCTTTAACAAAGCAACTCTACAGACTCCATTCTTTCTTGTCCACGGCAGGGATCCAGATTTTACTGACGGTTTAACTCTCCGCAGGACGCGCCAGAATTATCAGATGCACAAACCTTTGAAAGTAATGTAGCAGATCATTTCAAAGAAGCATGATCAAAGGTGTGTCAGAATTTGAAAAATGCGTCGGCAAAAAATTAAATTTGATGAAAACCATAGCTAAGGGCTACAATATTGAAAAATATGCTAGTACTTTTAAAAGTAGAAGATACTAACAGCGCCACAAAATTCCAGTACAAGTGGAAAGGTTCGTTTCTTGTTACTGCCCTAGGACATCCTAATGCTTTTATAGAGGAAATGAGTTCTGCAAAGACCCAGCGCGTCGACATAAATAAACTTAAACGGCTTTACGCAGAAAACCTTACGGTGTTGCTGAAAGCAACACAGAACAATTAGATGCTGCTCCTAAAGACATTTGAAATCGATCAACACGTTTGCAAGAAAAAGAACAAGCAAGACGTGGTTTTCCATGTTAATAATTTTTAAAGGAATGTTTTATTAATACATTTTGTTATTTTATTTTCAATTCCGACTGACAACATGTCCATTACCATGGTCAAATTCGAACTGACGGATATGGAGAAAAATCAGTCCTGTTAAAGCGAGCATACTTCAACAAACGACTCACTTTCGCTACAGCAGCCTCCGCCCCAGGGACCCACACACTACCCCTCCCTCTTCCTTCCCCCAAGAAAAACCCATCTGCGGCATGCAGCGTCCTTTGCCGCAGTGGGGTAAAGCCCTTCAAAAAATCGTTCGGTCCTGTATGAAGCCGGCCGAGCCCAGCCGAGCTGAGTTTTAGGTAGTTGCCGTTCCCGTAATGCAAAATTTTGCTTCTTTGTAATGATTGTAGATGTAAAAAACATCAATAATTCGTTGCATTCGCATCGACAGGCCGGTTTGTTTCTTTTGTTTATCTTTCTTTCTCCACTCTTCTCGCTAATGCTGGATTTTCCACCCTCCCCTCTCCCCCCCCCTCCCCCTCCCCTCCTCCTTTTGGCGGGTCCAAGAGGAGGGGTAAAGGGTCTCTGGCCTCCTTCCAGAGTAATTACTAAAACTCGGCCCGGCTAGTGTCTTACACGATTAGCCAAAAATTTTTTGTATGGACGACAGGGAAGTTGTCGGTTGCAAGATGCGTAACGGACGCGACATGCTGGGAAGGGAGCTAATCTTTGGCGAGGTTGGCTTTGCGTGCGACTTTTAGGACATCCTTCCCATTCTAGAAAGAAATCGTTTCGAAGCGGCAGCATACTCGGCCTCAGTCCCTTCTGTCAATTTGTGTTCTTCGAGCGGTAGCTTTTTGCTTCGCTCTTTACTCGACGTTTAGGAATTCTGTTAGCGGGCATCGTCTTCTTACTCATTAAATGA